TGATGGCTTCGAGCATGGCAACAATTGAGAGGATGGCGCAGGATCGAACAGTCTTTCATTCAGTTGTACATAGGGTCTCAGTGAATATGAAACGACTCGACGGCACCTAAGAACAACTGTTGCTTAGCAAGACAGGTAAACAAACTCTAGTTGTATTGTTGTTGTTATGTGCCGTCCAATCAAACCCGACTCATAGCGTCCCCTCCTTGGGTTTCCAAAGCAGTATCATTACGGAAGTAGATTGCCCTATCTTCCTTCCGAGGAGTGCCTGGTGGGTTTGAACCGCCAGCCTTCTGGTTAGCAGTCAAGCGTCTGAGCCACTATGCTATCAGAGCTCCCTAGTTGTATTGGTCAGTGAATTTTCCAAATAGCAAGAGCTCCTTAACGGAGTTGGGACGAGGGAACTGTGATTGGCAAACTTGCGGGGGCGGGGCTGGTAGGCAACAGCCGAGTTTCGACTGGGGACTTGGTGCCTGTCCTGGGGTTGTGATTGGGCTGCCGGATTGTTAACGTTACCAGGGAGGCGTGGCCAACACTAATAAAGACTGGGCCCAGCGCCATAGCTGCAGTACTTTCCCTCGTAGTTAGAGCTACGAGTGGACAGCTGGAGGCGGGGCTTCGAAGTTCCGTGGACTCAGACGCAGCTATTCTCCCTTCGCTTGGTGTCTCGCCGCAGCCTCCGGCGGAGACGGACCCCTACTTGTTCTGTCAGAAAAATGTGAGTTGACTCTGGTATTGGGGACCCGGCACCTTTTTGCCAACTCTCACCTCCAGCATCGGACTCTGCGGGACGGAAAATGGCGCATTGCAGCAGCTGCGGCGACGCGGGGAAACAGTGCCGCGCGCCGCCCCCAGACCAAGCCACCTTCGGGGAGAGGGACAATACTCCATTCCTGTATCAGCCACAGTCAGCGCTCCATGGGCAGGATAGGGGTCCTACGTTCATTGCACCCTCCCTTCTCCCTTGTAGGGCGCTTCATTCCGGGTCTCGGCATAGTAGAGCCCCGGAGAAGGGGAGGGGGAGCCTTGGAGACATCAGGGTCGGGGGCTTGCGGCTCTTTCTTGTGTCTGACTGGGTCTGTACTTAGGCTCTAGAAAGATAGTCATGGATGTACCTGGCGGTTAGTAACTTGGGTTGCTTTGCAACCTCTGGATTTATATATGCCCCTGACACTCGAAGTGTGATGTGTGCCCCCCTAAGGGCAGTGAGCAAGGAGCCAGAAACTTATCTGCCAGTTCTCTGGAGCCAGGTGGGCAGCTCAGAAAGACCCAAGGGACAGTAGCATGTCATTCCATGCAACCATTCATCCCAAGGCCACCTTATAGTAGGAGTTTTCCTGTCATGGGTTCTTACCCAAGTATTTGGAAGAGAAGTAGGGAGAACTGAGCATCTTCACCTCCCTGAAACTTACTCAGTTTTGTCTCTGCCATCTTTAACATCACCCCCATCCCAAGATCTCAAGGAAGAACTGTGGCTAGACAAATGAATTACTTCCCTGTCAGTACCACAATATGTGCAATAGAATTTTTTTCTTTCCAATTACTACCTGTTGTTGTTGTTATTTGCCATCCAGTCGGCCCGACTCATAGAGCCCTGGTTCTAGATGTATTTGCTTCTCTTAGTAACAAAAAAGAGAATGGGTTTACTTGTGTTACATAAGGGTTATAATTATCCCTGGGTATTTTACAGGTAAGTGTTTCCAACTCCCAACAAGTAGTAAGTGAAATGGGTTCACCCCTCCCCAAGTGGAATGGTTTATAGCTGTTTCACTTCTTCTCTTCACTTCTGAGTTGGTATTTGTGGTTTTAGTGTATATGATAACCCAAGCATTTTGGTCAAGTCCTAGGATTCCAGTTGTCTTCATTTTGGGGAAGGGGATTCCTTTCAGCCAACTGGTTCCCAATGCATCCAGGTAGGCTGAACGAGAAGAGATGCAGAATGCATGGTGGCTAGCAAGGCATCACGAGATTTCTGACCTTAATCTTGTCATTTGTGCTACCATCCTGGATTGTTTCTGGGACCAAACATGGGCTGCTACATACGCATTAAATTTTTCTGCCTTTGGTTGAGAACTGAATTGCTTAGCTCTGTAGCAGCACAAGAGTCTTGTGGCTAGAATGGCATATCTTTCTTTCTTCTTCCTCCTTTGTGCTTTAGAGGAAAATGGGAAATTGATTCATTCATGGCGATGGGTGAGGTGTAACTTGCTGGTATAGCCTCTCTGAAGAATTATTCTCTATTATTTTAGCTTGAAAGAAATTTACTTAGAAGAGCTTCTGGGTATTAGTTCTATTGTGATTAGTCAAAGAATTTCCTTTTTGATGACTTTCTGAATGGTTTGACACCTAGTGCATTTACTCTTGGGCTGCTGTGAGGTTGTTTTGTGAGGTTATGCTTATGTTTGATGAGGACTTCTTGTATTTTCTATTCTCCATCAACTTTGAGAAATCTCCCTCCAGCTTATGGGTTCTTCCTTTGCAGAGAAAATGCCTTAGGTTAGACTTCTGGGAATTCTTCAGGAGGTTAATTTAGCCTCCATGTATTGGGACTTGGAGAAGAGTTCATCTTGAAGATCCCATACTAGATTATTTCCATCTGGTAGGGGATCCCTTAGCCTTAGGTGGTACTGAAAGATAGAACAGTCTCCATGTGTGTGGCAGATCTCTTTGGGGAACAAGGAACTAGGGGAGTCTTCCGAGACTTCATGCCAAGTCTAGAAAAAGAAGGAACAGGATGTCTAATGCATATACACTGTGGACCATTTCCAGCATTTTTGCTTCTCTGTACTTCTGGAACAGTGTCCATAATTAACACAATTGCCTTGGGTCCTGGGTTCTGTCTAAGTGAAACCCCTATCTTTGCCAAAAACAAAGTAAGCAAACAGCCCTGACTCACTCCACCTACATAGGCTTTGCTTTTGGTGATTATCCAAGTTGTCCTTATTCCGCAGCCCTGATCTACTATTAATCATTCTGTAAAATATAACCAATAACTGGATCCCCTTCAGCAGTCAGTCCACTTGTCCTTTTATGTTCAGGCTTTGCAAAAAGGAACAGTTCAGTCCATTGGCTTATGCTGAGGTTTTAGTCTTTTTCTCTGAGTTCCTCCTAACCATGATAGGTGTTTTTCAGTTTGACTTCATGTGAAAGGCTCTGATAACCAAGGAAATACTATTTTAGTCAAGACTGACACATTTGTCCCTATAGGCTCTGTACCAGAGGGTGTATTTGAGTTGGGTCTAATATCAGATAATCACCCCAAACAAAATCTCACAATGGCATCCTGGGTATCCCTGAGTTCCATCTGAATGTTGTCACAGGACTTTTCATCTTTTACTTCTTGCTGCTATGCTGAATCTCTCTGCTGGGGTTGCCAAGGAGCTAGCGTCTCTTCTACTTGCATATAAAAGCCAAGTCGATTCCAACTCATAGCAACCCTTTAGGACAGAGTAGAACTGCTCTGTAGGGTTTCCAGGGCTGTAAATCTTTACAGAAGCAGACTGCCACATCTTTCTCCTGAGGAACAGCTGGTGAGTTCAAACTGCTGACCTTTTGGATAGCAGCCAAGTGCTTTAAGCATTGTGCCACCAGGACTCCTTTTATTTGCATATAACATAATCGTAATTTCTTTGTGATCTGGAGTGAGAAATGCCCCAATGGACATCCTGTCTGGGTTATTTTTTGTACTCTGTCCACTTCTTTCTGCAGGTCTGATCCCGCTCAGCCACCCACCCAGGGGGAAGAAGGGGCAGCTCCAGGTGGGGCTGCCCCTGGCCCTTCTCCTAACACGACCAGTAACAGACGACTACAGCAAACCCAGGCACAAGTGGAGGAGGTAGGTGGATAGCTGTTTTCTGAATCATAGATGTTTAGAAGCAAAAGGGAATATCTTGTCTATTTCTATAAAGGGGTAGCCAAAGACTCTAGGGGTAGAGGGGTTTAGAGTTAAGCATGGCCAGACTTGTGATTCCCTGGTCTGTGATCTTTCCCATCTCTAATGGGGTGCTCAGCACCTTTGTTTCTGCGGCCCCCTCAGGTTGTGGACATCATACGTGTGAATGTGGACAAGGTCCTGGAGAGGGACCAGAAGCTGTTGGAGCTGGATGACCGAGCTGATGCCTTGCAGGCTGGAGCGTCACAATTTGAGAGCAGTGCTGCCAAGCTAAAGAGGAAGTATTGGTGGAAAAACTGCAAGGTGAGTTTTCCTTGCCTTTTCTCCTTTCTTTTTCTAGGCCTCAACGCATATAGAAGGCAAGAAAACCCCTCAGGTTCTACATTTCTTCCCTCTAATGGCGTAGGATCTCTTCCCGGCAGAACTCTAGGAGGAAAGCCTGAAAGCCTCCTGCATGACATACATTACCCTGCATTGGCCACCAGGGGAGGCCAGAGTATTCAGAACCATTGACTAGGAGAAAATGATACCTTGAGAAGTTTGGAAGGAGTTCTGGTGGTACACTAAAAGCATCTGGCTGCTAACCAAAAGCTTGGTGGTTCTAACCCACCAACCACTCTATTCATGAAAGATGAGGCAATCTGCTTCTGTCAAGATTTAACCTTGGAAATGCTATGGGGCAGTTCTACTCTGTCTTATAGGGTCACTAGGAGTTGGGATTGACTTGATGGCAGTGGGTTTGGAGTTTTTTGGTTATTGCCTTACAGAAGGAGCCATGGTAGTGTAGTGGTTAAGTGTTCAGCTGCGAACCAAAAGTTCAGCAGTTCAAATCCACCATCCACTCCATGGGAGAAAGATGTGGCAGTCTGCTTCCCTAAAGATGACAGACAGCTTTGGAAATGTTATAGGGAAGTTTTACTCTGTCCTAAAGGGTTGGTGTGAGTCGGAATTGACTCGATGGCAGTGAGCAGGAGGAGTTTGGAAATGCTTAGTAAAGTAGCTTTCCCTAAATGATTCTCCTATGAAAAATCCTCACCTGGCCCTTCCTCAGACACACTCAATATCAACACAATTTTTTTTTTCCAAATACTTGCAACTTTTGAGAATGAATTAAACATGTCACAGTGAAAAATGAACAAAGTAACTAAAGATCCTAAGTCTGCACCTTCACTGGAGTTCCCTTTAAAGCCTTAAAGCAAGAGGAATTCAGTCAAAAGGAGCACATCGCAGGTGCTCTGGTATTTCTGAGGAGCTACTGCTGAGGTCCAGGAATTATTCTCTGATGTAAAGCAGGAAGGTTGGGCCCTCCCTGAGAGACTTGCCAGTTTCCTCGGTGATGTATTCTTCCCCTGTCCCAAGGATGGAGAAAGGTCTGTCCCCACATCTCTTGTCCTGGCTCCTTTCCTCCTTCCCAAATCCAAGGGCTCATTTTTTTTGTTGTCAATATTTCTTCAGATGATGATCATGCTGGGAGCCATCTGTGCCATCATCGTGGTAGTTATTGTAAGTAAGTATCGCTGAGGTTGCTGGTGGGGTGACGAGGTGGGAAGGTCCCGGAGTCTTCTCCCAGTCCTGCCTGCCTGCCTGCCTGGGGAGTGGGGCTGCTCTGATTGAGGTATGAAAACTGCTGCTGTGGGCCCATCGCCTGGTTTGGGAGGGAGCAAGAGTGGGTATGCTGACAAAGTCAAGGGACTTCCTTGATGGACAAGTCTTTCCTTGTACAAGATATTGCAGGGAGATGGCCCCTCCTATTCTGAGAAAGTGGGGCCATGCTGTTTATCACTTACTTGAGTCAGAGGGAGACCATGGGGATGGGACACCTACAACTGAAAGGCCTAAATGTCTGTAACTTGATGTAATTTGCCCTCTTGTTTTCTCCTGTCTCTTTCTCTTTGCCATCTGTGACTTCCCTGATTCCTGTGTCCAGTCTACTTTTTTACTTGAGAATGTGCTATCCCTTCCCTGTTCTCCATTGCCATCCAAACTCATGCCCTTCTCCCTCTGTTTGCTCTTTCAACAAACTCCTCCATCTGCCTTCTTACATTCCAGCCCAGGCTTCTGTGCCATCTATTCCTCCTCTTTTTTGTTGTTGCTTTCATTTGCACTATGTTCCTCAATGCTGGAAATGCTGCTTGTGGCACGGTCTTGAAGTAACTACCTGAAGAGCAACAGCTGGCACCTCCTCCCTACCTCTACTTATGTACTCTCAAGTTCTCCCAAAGCCAAGAAGAGATGGAGGCCACAGGGAGGGGGTGGAAAAGGAGAGCAGCTGAGGTGAAGTGCTCAAGAGGCTGTCGATATTAGGAGAGGAGGGGGCTATTAATGCTCATAGTGTCTTCAGGAAAGGCCAGGCAGCTGGCAGGAGGAGGCTGGGCACAGTTAGGAAAATGGTGCTACCTTGGCTATTTCACCTGGAACTTTTCTTTGCCAGCCCTAAAAGAGAATCCTGCAGTAGGCCGAACATCCAACTTGGTCCTGGTGCAGTACCCTTTCAGAAAGTAAAAGTTTTTTTTTTTTTTTTTAAACAGTTATTTCTAATCTGTTAGTCCAAGCTTTTCTATATCTTCAGGGATTTTACATCCTTTTACTTGGTTCTCTCTAGGCCTGGAGAACAAACACTGAGAAAATACTGGGACTCTCACTCCCATCCTAGAAGCAGTCTCCTAAGCTCCCAACTGGAAGGGGCCATCTCTTCTTCACATTGTGTGTGGCAAATAATTTCATATAGCCAAAGTTTTAGACTTTCAATTCATTTTAATTGTTGTCAAAAGGAATAATGCTTGTTAGTTATAGAGAAACTGAATCAAGGGCCTGATTTAAAAATAAACTTGGAGGGGAAAAGAAGAAAAAAAGCTTGCCCTCTCACTGAGGAAAGTCCTGTTCCTCCCTTCCTGGTTGATAATGGAACATGAGGGTCCAAAGTGAGCATCTAGGGAATCCTCCTGTGTCAGCCTGTGTACTTGGTAAAGACAGAGATGAGGCAAGAGGTCTTTCTCGGGGCCTGGCTGATCCTAGTATTTAGAGGAGTTTGGTGTACCCATCAACTCAACCTTTGGGTAGAGGCCTGGCAGTCTGTAGATAGGTGTGCTTGTATGTTGCTGTGTTGGCATGGGGCCCTCTCAACTAGAGCCACCTCTGTGTTCTTCCTGCTATATGTTCCCCTTTGAAACTGTCCTTCCCTATCCATCTGGATACTACTTTGCCTCCTTTCTGTCTCCTTTTTGCCTGGTTTATGGGTACAGACAGTAAAACCTGAGGATGGGAGCTGCTCAGCCTATCTTGGGGGCGGCTCCTTGCCTTCAGGATAGGATGTTGCGTGGGCTGGACCAGGGTCCTCACTGAAAGGATGAGGGGAGGAGGGCAGGCTGGGAACACAGGAGGAACACAGTCGTAGCCCTATTTGCCTTCCATCTTCTGGCCCACAGGTGGGAAGAGGCTGAGGCCAGGCTGGGCTGGGTTTGGATGCCCACTTTCCATGCAGCAGCATTTCATGTGCAAAACCATCCTTCCTCCCCCTTTGCCCATTTTCCACATTCCCTTCGTCCTGCCCAGGGCAGGACTGAAGAGCTAGAAGAAAGCAGTCACTGTGCCCTCCCAGCAGCCCCCTTGAAGGTCTCCACTCTCCTCCTGGGCTCCTCCTTGCCTAATGCAGGGGGTCACCGCTGGAGAAGAACCACCACTGTCCTCGATGTGTCCCAAGCCTGGAGCAAATCCACCCTCTTGGCCCACTCAGTCCTGTTATAAGAATTATTTCCTGGTGTCTGTCCCTCTAAGGCTTGCAAGAAAGAAAGAGTTGGCTTTGTTCTTTTGGGGATATTAGCCCTTCTACTTTCTTTCTCACCTCACCCTGTGCCCTCTTTGTGTCTTTGCTCTCCCCCTTCCCTCCCACCACCCATGTGCATGAGCAAATATGCAACTAAACCCTGGGACTTTGCAGTCAAATGGAGCTGAGTGTCCCACATCCCCTTTTTCTTCGGTTTGCCACGTGCCGATGTGCGGTTTCCACTGTGTGTCTGTCATCACCTCTTGTCTTTTTTCCTAACCTTGATCTCATACTTGTATACAGTAATAACAGTTGTGCTTCCACCAAAGGCATGTGGCATATTTACCAATTCCATGTATTCTGAATGAAGGCAAAAAATACAAATTCCTACCACTAAACTGCCTTGTTTGTTGTTTGGGTTGGAGGAACTAGGGAAGGGGAGGAGGGTAATACCAGTTCTTTCTAGTAGTATGATGTTCCCTTGGGCCGAAAGGGCTGGCTTATGTGTGCTGTATGGTCTTCAAGAGATTAAAGATCTGTGTGTCAGCAGAGGAAGTGGTCTTCCTTTCAGCATTCATACCTGAAGCAGCCCAACTCTTGCAGGTGCTAGTGAGAGGAAGTGATGACAGGAAGTTGAGTGGGCTTCTCACACTGGCAAACAACTGCAGGCTTTCTCAGGCATCTCCCATCTACTTCCTTCTTAGGTCCTCAGCCTGCCTGTCCTGTCCCAGGAGGCCCAACCAGATGAGGCTTCCAGTCACCCTCCCATGCAGTTTCCCTATACTGAATTCCACTCTTTCAACCATGTGTTTTTCAGAAATGACTTAAAAGAGAAATCTCTCCCTGCAGCTGAGGGGGCAAGGACTTTGCGGGTATCCTGAAATATCTGTCTGCTCTCTGAAGGAGCGCAAGTAGCTTAAAGTTACTCAGAACAACTGAGATGGAGCCACAATGCTGCTTCTGAGGGCTTTTGTTTCACACCTTGAACACTTTACAAGTTGGAGCCGCTAGGCTTGGGGACAGGGCTTAGTTGAGTCCCGCATGGGGACAGACGGGGAAGTGGAGAAGCTTTGCCTTAGAGGGTTCAAGGAGCTTTTATTTTTGACAGAGTCCAGTGTTTGTGAGTGGTAGCCCAAACCTCACCCCTTTGCCCCACTGTTGTTGTTGTTATGTGCCATGAGGTCGGACCCAATTCGTAGCGACCCCTCCTTGGGTTTCCAAGGTGGTATCACTATGGAAGTAGATTGCCCAACCTTCCTTCTGAGGAGTGGTTGTTGGGTTTGAACCACCAGCCTTCTGGTTAATGGTCAGATGCCTTAGGCTCTATACTACAAGAGCTCCTTTTGCCCTACTATCCCTCACTTTCTTAATTTCTTTTCTTACCACCTCATTCCAAATCTGGCTCTTTTGTTTTAACCCCCACCCAGTTGTTCTGCCTTCCTTTTGCCCTCTCACCTCTTTATATTTTCTCCCTTGGTGTATCTGCCCAGGGCCCACAATGAAGGAAGACAGACACCGCATATCCACAGCCAGACTCTGTGTCCCAGAGATCTGGTGGTTTCTTCATGCCTTTCTCAGGGGTCTTTTTGAGCTCTGGGGTTTAGGATCTCTTCATAGTCCTGGGAGAATGTGACAACTGTGAGGCAGGAGAGTGGCTACCCCGAGTCCCTCAGAATCTTGACCTTGGTGAGGTGGCTAGGAGGAGACAAGTAGAAATGAGATTAGCTTTAGTTGGGGTGACCCCAAAAGCAGGGAGCTGTGGTGGCTGGGCCAGCTGGGATGAGGTACTTGCATTTCATCCTTAGTTAGGATGGAGAGGTGATTAGAGTGGACTGGTTCATAGGGAGGTGGGTTAGGGGCCAGAGCGGAGGGCAACCAGTCTCTTACCTTGCCGCCTCTGGAGCCCCAGGAAGAGCAGTGCAAAAAGGAAGAGGCTGCTGGCAAAGAGGACTCCAAAGGTCACTCTCCTCTCTGTAGGTTAGAGCAACATGGGGTGGAATCATCGGCTGAGCCTTCTCCCCCACCAACCCCCCCCACCAACCGTGTCCCTCCCAGGGAGGAGGAACAGGGCAAGAGGGTATGTTTATGAGTCCCGGTGGAGGAGTGCACATCAGATATTCCTGCCCTCACCCAGGGCGTATTGGAGCATTTGTACTTGTTGAATGTGGTTGGATGTTTGTGTGTGTGACTCCATACAATTCTACCTCTTCCTACCTCAGGACACATTTTTTAAAAATTCATTTGCAAGAGAGATTTAGATTAGATTGGTTATTAACAACTGAACTGGGATTTAATAGACCTCTGGGGAAGGATGTGAGCTGAGACAAAACCCCTGTTCTCAGGATGCTTACAGTCTAGTGAGCAACCTAATCACGCCTGGTGCTGCAGCTGCATTTGCATTGCTGAGTGGAAGTCCTTTCTGTCACTTTCCTGTTTAAAACATTTCACTGACATTCTGTGGGTTTCAGGATGAAGGTCAAGCTTGAAGGCCCATCATGGTCTGGCCACTAAAAGCAGTAGAGGGTTTAAACCTGGAGGGGAGATAGGCTGTCTGTTTTTCACATTTTCTGTTTGATCACTTACTAGGGTGGGTTGTTGTTGTTGTTGTTATGTGCCGTCGAGTCGGCCCCGACTCATAATGACCCCTCCTTGGGTTTCTGAGGCAGTATCACTACGGAAGTAGGATTGCCCAACCTTCCTTCCGAGGAGTGGCTGGTGGGTTTGAACCGCCAGCCGTCTGGTTAGCAGGCAAGTGTCTTAGCCACTATGCTACCAGAGCTCTTGAGCAAATCTGTAAGTGCCAGTTTACTTATCTGTACAGTGTAATCATGATACTATATGAGATAATACATATAAAATGCTAAGTATGGTGCTTGACTCATGTAAATGCTCAATAAATACAATGACCTCTCAAATTCCAGTGCCTTCCACTCCCCGTTTTTCCTGTATGCCCTTAGCTCTAGCTGTGCTGAACTTGCAGTTCCCCAGGTCTTAGGCTGCTTTATAATTTGGCCATCACAGGCGCTATTCTTTCTGTCTTGAGTGTCCTCTTTCCCCTGAGCTAACTAACTAGTTGGCAGATGTCTCCTCTAGGTCATTTTCCCTGACTCCTAGTTTACCCAACTGGAGAAAGCTGAGGGCAAAATCAGGAATTGTTCACCCTTGATCTCTAGCCTGTAGCTTAAAGCCTGGCTCACTGGAGTGGGGGCTGTAGTGAAGCTTCAAGGGATGTTTGGTTGGAGGTCTGGAGCCTGCCTCCTTGGGAAAGAAACCTAGCAGCAAAGACAGGGCATGAAGAAGCTGAGACTGTGAATAAAGTTGTGGGAAGCAGAACAAGGCCAAAGAGGTGTTGTGGGCAAGAGAGCCAGGAGCCCAAGTCTGGAGGAAAGGAGGGCAACCCAGTACCTGGGGAGGCGACCCAGGTGCTGGCCACAATGGGCTCCTCCAAGGAGATGTGTGTGACACGGCAGGTGTAAGTGGCGCCTGCAGAGCCAGGGTCTGCTGTCAGGGAGGAGGAGATGCTATAGGTGCCTGCTGTGCTTTGCCTGAGGCTGGAAAAGGAGGCCCCAGAAACTTGGACTGGGGTTCCATCCAGCTCCTCTCGGGTCCATGTCACAGTCACGTCCAGTGGATAATAGCCAGCAATGTTGCAGGTGAGAGTGGGTAGCTGAGGTTCATTTACCAAGTTCAGTCGTATTTTGGGAGAAGCTGGAAGAAAGAACGAGGAATAAGATTTCAGAGGGACCTAGCTGGGGACAACAGAGGAACCTAAAGCCTTCTCTTCCTGCTGAGGATAAGAGTAGGTTGTGGAGGCTAAAGTTTCTTCCTCAGTGGTGTAACAAGGAATGTGGTGTGAGAGATCCATCCTCAATGCGGGAAATAAGGGGTACATTTTCCATAGATAATTAAAAAACAATAGTAAAGCCAACTAAAGGTCAACGTTTATTCATAACAAGTCAGCAATTGTAAAGGATATCAGTGGTAAAGTACTCCTTTGGGTCAGGACTTTTCCCACTGCCCTGCCTGAAAGGACAGAGATTATGGGAGCCCTCTAGCCATGGCAGGGCAGAGGGTCCTGTACTAGGAAATATCTCAGTGGGATTATCCTGGAGTCCAACAGAGCATCTTTTCTGATGCCATCTGTACTTCTGAGATGGAGAAGGCATTTAGGTTGTGGGAAAGCAGTCTGCCATGCTGAAAATTGCCCTTGTATTTGGACCCCTATCTGGAAAACACTCGCAGTAGACTTATCCCTCCCTCTCTCCCCAGGATAACTGAGTGCTAGGCTCACCTTGGATGTTGAGCTGGATGATTTGTTGAGCTTGGTATAGAGAGGTAGTGATTTGGCAAATGTAGGCCCCCTCGTCCTTTGGAGTGAGGCTGGGTAGGGTGAGTGAGGCATCGCCAGCAATAAGGAGTGGCTCAGGCTCCAGCATAGCGCCCTCCCGCTTGGCCTGCCCCTGCCCTGTGGTCCAACTGTACACCAGCCGGCCACTGCCCTTATACTGCAGCCGCCACTCCACACTGATGAGGTCCAAGCCTGGTGCCATGGAGAAGCCACAGTGCAGGGAGGCTGTGGCCCCCAGCAGGGAATTCAGGGATGGGCTCTGTGTTGTCACCTGGAACTCCACTGTATTGAGAAAAAGAGAGGTGAGTGAGGTCATCTTTCTCCTTGAGGCTACCTAATTGCCGAATTGTGGGCATGCTTGGGGGCACTATGGCAGGTTGTGGGTGCACACTTGGCCCTGCTTCCTCCCTTGAACAAAGAAGCCAGTTGAGCTCATTTGCCATCAGATGGAACCACAAGAGAAAAAGGAGCAAAATGTTAGCAATGGGTAAATCTAAGTAAAGAGTGTATGGTGTTCATTATATTATTATTTTATCTTTTCCATAGGTTTGCAATAGTCCAAAGTAAAAAGGGAGGAAATACCTAACAGTGTGAGGGCTATGGTAGACACTGGACAGATGTGAGGACCCCACTTTTTTGATGCAGCAGGATAAATTTAGGTTAGACAACAGAAAGGGTAGCATGTTCTAGTGCTTTCCATGAATAGGAGGTAGCCCCATAATCTTGTCTGGGCTTGAGTGTATCTTCTTAGAAGCAAAATATTGGATTAGGTGGACTCAGGAGGATCCTTTCATCATGACCTCAATTTTCTATGTCCTCTCAAATTCAAAACTCACTGCCATTGGGTCAAATCCAACTCATAATGATGCTATAGGGCAGAGTAGAGCTGCCCCGTAGGTTTTCAGAAGCAGAATGCTTCATTGTAGAGTGCTGAATTGGAGAGGCCAAGGACCTGGGTTTTGCTAATGAGACCATGAACACATTCTAGTTTATCTCTGTGTGAAAGATGCTTATTTGAATTCACCCCCGTGCTCTGCTGATTATCTTGAAGCACAAGATCAAGTGAATTTTTCACTGGGAGAAAACTGGTGTTTGGCTCAATAAGACTGTTATGGACAACACCCGCAAACAGCATCGTGTGGCCTATTTCCTCACAGCAACCTGGTGAGGTGAAACTATCCCCACTTTGGAGATGATACATGGATTGGCCTTGTGTTTGGATTCTCAACATTCTCTTCTTCTGGACTTGGGTCTTCAGGAAGGAGGAGCACTGAGGCTGGGGGCACCCTGAGGTGACCTGTGTGGTGGATGGAAATGGATTTATTCTCTTCCTTCTCCCACATTTCTGCCCATTTTTTAAAAAAATTAAACTTCTTTCCTGCTACCTGCTTGTCATTGTCTCACCTGCAGTCTGCACAGTGCCCTGGGGGCTCAGGGGCAGGTTCAGTGTAGGGTGCCAGACAACCCCAGTCTCAGCATTCCCAAGGGTCTTCATCACCGTGGAGACACTAGGTCCTCCTCCAGACACCTGGATGTTAGTGATGAACCAAGCTGCTGTCTCAACTGTGACCGCTTGTGTGGCCTGGAGAAAGTAGCGGGAGATCTCACAGGTCACCTCCTTCCCATTGCAGTCAGCATGGAGTAAGGCTTTGGCTTGGGGAATCTGTACCAGGTCCACTGGGGAAGAAGGGTGGCATAGAGGTCGAGTTGGATTGAGCACACGGGGCTAATGGGAAGCAAATATGGTTATGTGCACTCAGGAATTGGCCAAGGAGCAGGGCTGTCCTAGTGGAGGGAGCCTGCTTTTGTTACCTAGTACCTCTCTGACAGGAGAATACCATAAATGGGTGGCTGTAACAAACAGGAATTTATTCTTTTGCTGTTTGGAGGCTAGACGTCTGAGTTCAAGGTGCTGGGCTCTAAGGGTTGGGTGAAAGCCCCTCAAACTTGGGCTTCGGCTCTGCCTCTGGCTCCTGGCCCATTGAGGCTGGAGGCTTTCTTCACTCAGGCAGCTGCTGGCTGCTGAGGCTGACATGCTCAAGGTCAACAAGGAAAAAGGCACAGTCCCGATGTTACCAAACCACATGGCAGGCCGTTAGTTCAAGTCCATTGAAAGTCCCAAGATTGGCAGAGCATGGCAGAGCATGGCAGACTACTGAATGAAGACTTGGCTACATATAGGGTTCAAGTGTGCCAAAAAGCTGGAGACCTTCCTCAAAGCTGCTTCTTATATGCTGGAAGCAGCCCACATCCCTAAAGCAGCTACTCAGCTGCTCCAGCAGATGCCACCATGGAGTTAATTACCAATCTCACTGTGGGGAATAACTACATCCAGCTGCCCAGCCATTCAATCTGGCCCAGCCAAGTTGACATACAACCTTAACCACTACAGAGCCCAAAAGGACTCTTATCTGAGGGCTCTTACCTGAGGTCTCAAAAGTAACAGGCGGGTCGTCTTTGGCCAAGGTACCCCCTTGGAAATTCATGAAGTCTTCCAAGGAGCCATCATCCAGTACTGGCACCTGCCTTAGCACGAGCAAGGCCTTGGCCCTGTTTCCATTACTGGCAAAAGTTCCACCAAGCCTATCATCCTTCACCAAGAAGCAATCTAAGACAACATCCACTGCCCGCCACTGCCTTTCTGTCACACGGGGCGCTGTAGGAAGAAGGCTGAGTGAGCACCCTCTTGCCCAGAAAGTTAACTCCTGTACTTGCTTCCCACCTTACTCCCCCAAAATGTGGCATCATCAAGGGGTAAAAGTGGCCTTCCAGGATCCCAGCTGTCTCTGTGCCCTTTTCCCTTTGTCATTCCCCAAACCTGCTTTCTGGGATGCACCTGCTACTCCAGGAAGATACCTGCTGGTATGAAATATTCAATATCCTGGATTTGCCTTGTTCAATTTTTACACTAATTTTTGAATGAAAGACTTAACTCCTCAATCTCAGCAAAAGCAAATAGAGGGACACATATTGGGGCAGTGGCAATGGGGAGAGGAGACTGCTAATTCTAAGGGCCCTGGCAGCCATCTTAAATTTCCCCAACCAACACAGTGATCAGCTTCCCTTTCTGCTATTACAGGTAGGTCTCCTGCCCACCCCCACCTCTGGGGGAGGCACCTCCTGAGTTCTTTTCCTAGTCTGGGGAGCCCCGTCTGTCCTCTTCTGAAGGTATGCGCTCTTAGGCAAGTGCCCTCTCCCTCACAGTATCTACAGAAGAGGTTCTTTATTTGGTCTCTCTCACCACACACTGTTGGGTCCTTACTTGCCAGCCCTGAGTCTTTTGCCTGTTGGGCTTTGAAGGCTACTGGAAGCTGTCCCTGACCCCTTTGCCCTTCTGGAATCTAAGGGAGAGTGGCTACCAGGAGCTTATATTAGGCACCCCCCACCCCCACCCCGGCCCCCTTACCGGTTTCTGCTGCTCCGGGTAGAGCCAAGCAGAGCAGCAGGCACCACACCTTGGCGCTCATGGAGGCTGCTCTGGCCCCCCTCAACCACTCCCTTCTCCAGGATCCCAGTGTTTGCAAGGTCCTGGACTGGGGAAGAGCAGCAGTCTCTCCAGACACCCCTTGCTGGCTAATAATAGCCTGTCAGTTTCTTTTTAGTTCTCTCAACCTACTTTCGCTTTCACTTAGAGGACGTCTTTCTATGGCTGCCTTTGTCTCTGGGTGAAGCCATTTCTAGCGGCTGCCAGAATCTTGCTCACTGTTCTCTCTCCCTTCTCTACACACACACACACACACACACACACACACACATTCCTTGATGATTTCAAGACCTGGCTTTAGTGCACCTTTCTGCTCTCCACCATCCTCAAGAAAGTGGGAATATAAGTATGGGAAAGGGAGGGTGGGGTGAGGAGACTAGACAGGAGAAGCAGGATTGCTGGTGGCCTGGGACCCTTTCCTCATTTTCTGTTAGTGCCTCATCCAGGCTCCCAACACCCTCCTGCAGTGCCAATACAAATCTGTGTGGGGGAAAGTGCCTCCTGCAGAACCCAGGTCAGAGAGTCTGGGAGTGGCCTGGGTTCTGGGACTGAATTCAAGGAGAGAGATGAATCACTGCAGTGTGTAGTAATCTGTCCCTTTATTTTGCCGGATTTTCTGGGTCAGCAATATAGCAGGTGGGGCTTTTGTAGCCGGAAGTGTGTTTTACAACCAGAACCCCAACCCTCCCACAGCCCAGAGAAGAAGCTGGCTGAGCCTGGACATGCACAGGGCTCCTATTTCTCACCCCCAACTCATTCCCACTTGTTCTCATTGACAGTCTTGTAAAGGCACTTTTTCAAGTCTGTACACAGGGAAGGGTCCTGATGAGAGGCTGGTATTTAAGTTGGGGTGCCAGGTCCAGTTCTTCCAAATGGCCACATGACCTGGAATGCAGGCTAGGGCTTTATGACATGACCTCCACCCTCACCCCCTGGTAGGTTGTGGGCTCTGGTTTTCGATAATCCTCCTGGATGGGAATGGCACTGCCTTCCTCCTCTCTGGGGCAGCTGTAAGTACAAGGCTCTGCAGGCTCCAATGGACTTTCTCCTTTGTCTGTGGAAGGAGAGGCAGGTGCGTCTTGGACAGCAGTGGGGAGGGGGTGAAGGGAAACAGATACACAAAGGGAGTAAGATTAGGGGAAGATTGACAGCTTGAAGAGTAGGAGGGATGCAGGGTTGGCACAGATGGAGCTGAGGGAGTTAGTGAGGTTGGAGGCAGGGGCTGCAGGGCTGAGATGGTGGGGTATGGTGCAGTGATAGGACTGCAGACCTGTGCTTTGTCTCTTACTTGATCCGTGTTTTCTTTGTAGGTGGAGGAACAGGACTCCACCCAGGATGAAAGCAAGTAGCATTCCAGAGAAGACCACAAAGATGCGGATGCAGTCTGAGCTACACAGGGGCCTTTGGGCTGTGAGAGGCAGGGGGTACATGAGGGTTTGGAAGAAGACCTAGCCCTTGACTTCCTTCAGCCTAGCCCTTCTGTCTCTCTACCTAGCTCCTTTCGCCCCCCTCCCCACCCTCACCATTGGACCAAGTCCTCTCTTGATTGCTAGACTTTGCTTTTCCATTATCCTCTTATCCCTACTCCTAGGAACTTTCTGGCTGGCTTCCCTCCTGGACTCTCCTGGAGTGGGGATTAGGGAGGACACTTACGTGGCCGGTGGGTAGAAAGTGCAGGGGCAGGCAGCCACATGAAACGAGCCAGAGTCTGCACAGGCCTAATGGTTCTGGCCTCAGGGATCCCTGGAAGGATAGACAGATGAGACAGATGAGTAGCAACAGGCAGTCTCATGGAGCCTAAGAAGTACTGGATGAGATTGGGAACATAGAGATAGGCTGACCAGGCAGCTTAGGTGTGGGAGAGTAGTGCTGGTTAGCATCTCACCCCTACCCCAAATGCCTGGACAAAGGGTTACCTGAAACTTACTTTTGGCGTAAGGTAAGCTGTTGGGTTGTGGGTGTGGGCCTGGGGCCTGAGATAGACGAGTGGTCAACAAAGAGTTTGGGAGCTGATCGCAGTCAGTACACTCCTTATCCCGACACTGCCAGCCATTGGGGCAGGCACACTCAGCATTGGCAGTGATGGTGCAATTGCGGATACGGAGACCTGGACAAAGAGGAAGGCCTTCAGAAACCTGCCAGGCCCACCTGCTTCCTCCTTTCCCCAGACCCCCATCCCAGGCCCACCTGTAACACAGGCTTCCCCTTCCATTTCCATCTCCCCATCCCACAAAGCCTGCCTTCTCTCTCTGTCCCCCAGTGCCTTTGTCCCAGGAGCCATTATTGATATTATTATAAAATAAACCTGAACCTTTCAGAAAATTTATAGGTTCGGAAATAGAAACCACGAAAAGTAGATACAGCTTACATAGTTTTTCTCTCTTATTTACTGATACAGCTTTTTATTGAAGTATGATACAGAGATGAGGAGCTCTGGTAGCATAGTGCCTAAGGCACTTGACTACTAACCAGAGGGCTGCGGTTCAAACCCACCAGCCACTCCTTGGAAGGAAGGTTGGGCAATCTACTTCCGTAGTGATACTGCCTTGGAAACCCAAGGAGGGGTTGCTATGAGTTGGGGCCAACTCGACGACACATAACAAATACAGAGATGTATGTATGCTTATAGGGAAGTACAGTACACATATAGTTGACCCTCTGTACTGCAGGTTCCATATCTATGGATTCAACCAATCATGGATTGAAAATATTCAGAAAATAATAAGAGCAATTAAGTTGTCAACTAGGAGCTCTGGTGGCATAGTGCCTAAGACATTTGACTGCTAACCCACCAGTTCGAACCCACCAGCCACTCCTTGGGAGGAAGATTGGGCACACTACTTCTGTAGTGATACTGCCTTGGAAGCCCAAGGAGCAGTTGCTATGTGTTGAATCAACTCAATGGCAGTGACTTTTGGGAGCTCTGGTAGCGTAGTGCCTAAGGCACTTGATTGCTAACCAGAAGGCTGGTGGTTCAAACCCACCAGCTGCTCCTCGGAAGGAAGGTTGGGCGATCTACTTCTGTAGTGATACTGCCTCGGAAACCCAAAGAGGGGTCGCTATGAGTCAGATCTGACTCGACAGGCGTGAGTTTGGTTTTTTTTGGGTTAAGTTGTCAAAGTAATCCCAAAGGCTAAGAGGGTGTAAGATGCTATTTACATAGCATTTACATTGTATTTGGTATTATAAGTAATCTAGGGATGATTTAAAGTATATAGGAAGATTTGCATAGGTTACGTGCAAATACTACACCATTTTATATATATAAGGACTAGAGCATCTATGGAGTTTGGTATCTGTGAGGATCCTGAAACCAATACCTGATGGATACCGAGGGACAACCATAAAAGTATAAAGCTTGATGAATTTATACAAATTAGCACCCACAGTAAGAAACAGAAGACCCCTTCTAGTCACTAAGTCCCCAAGAGTAGCCACTATCCTGACGTCTAACACCACAAATTAATTTTGTCTATTTGTGTACTAGAGAAATGGAATCATGAGGAATGTATTCATTTGTATCTGGCTTCTTTTACTCTATTCTGCCATATTGTTGAGTGTAATTGCAGCTTGTTCATTCTCATTGCTGTATAATACTCCATTGTACAGATATACTGTAATTTCTTCATTCTCCTCTTCATAGGCATTTGGTTAGTTTCTAGTTTCCAGCAATTAGAAGTAGTGTTGCTATGACTGCTGATATGTTTTTAACTTTACAGGAGAGTTATTTGATTACTGCCATCCTTTGCCATTAAAATATATGCTTTACTCAAGTGTAGTCGTCAGGGGCTAGGTAGCTATCAATCAGTTACACTGGGGGATGGGCTGCACTTGGCTGGCCGGGCTCGAAGGTGGTTGGGGTTGAGAGGAGGGTGATTCTGGGGCAAGCAGAAACACCTGGAGGTGAGCCAGGCTTGAGTGGAGACTGGTAGGACCTTAGGCCAGCATACACATGGGGACCCAGGGACTGGAGAGCCCTGACAGGTGGAAGAGGGGTGTGGGAAGGAAGGTGAGGGGATACCAAAGATTGCTATCAACTCAGTTTCCTTTAGGGTATGCCTTTTGCCAGGGAATGGGGAGGGACAATTTCCATCTTTTCATCCTTAAGCTCCTGTACCCTCTTCTTCATGAATTCTGACTCAAGTTCCTACTAGAGAGTAGTTTCTTTGTGGCTTACCAGGAATTGTAAGCCAGCCTGGACAAGAGGCTGCAAGGAAAAGTGAGAAAAACCTGAAACAGTGATGGGATGAGGGAACAGTGGGGGGAGGGAAGGGAAGAGATAGGCTAAAATGGAGAAACTGGGGAGGGAGGTAATTCTGAGGATGTCTCCTAAAGAGGAAAAGGAAGAGTGGAAGAGGATGGAGTGGTTAAAATGGATGAAGGGGCATGAGTATCCAGAAACCTGGGCATTCCATTCACCCTGTAGAACCTGGGATCTAATTTCAGGCACTTTCCCATTTACAGATGAGAATACTGAGGTCCAGAGAGGGCCAAACTCATTCAGCCCCCTCCCCATCTCCTTTCTCCCTGAAAGACCACAGGGCCTTCTGTAATCTGGTGCTACCTACTGCCTTCAGTGCTTTGGGGACCTATTGTCTAGGTCTTACAAAGAAGGATCATGGCCTGGGGTGGTTTGGAACTCAGTGGAAGGAGTGGGAATGGGCTCAGTCCTGGGAAAAAGGCCTCTAGTGGGGCTCACAAAGTGAGTGGTGGAGACCTTGACTTAAAACATTTCAATCCTGTGGGGGCTACTGCCAAGAAGAGAAAATCCATTAGCAGTCTTGTAAATTAAGTAGATTAAGTGGATTGAGGAATACATCTTTTGTATTAAAGATGCTGCTGTTTGACTCATTTGCAATGAAAAAAAATTTTGTTTTTTTAAAGAATTTAGTATTAAAGAATGCCATGTTAAAAAGCCTAGTGAAACTGATCCTATTTTATAGTTCAGTAGTTTACAAGTTTACAATCCTCAATCCTGTCTTGGTGAAAAACGTTTGTTTAAAGGGACTGCTTTAAAATCTGTCCTTTGGTGCACACTGGTATGTAGTTCCCTAAATTCTAGTTAAAATGGAGAAATAGTAAAAGAATTCATCAGGACAACTGCTGCAGATACTACATTTCTTAATTTTTAAGAAAGCCATAAAGGAAATAAGGGGCTCTGATGGCGCAGTGCCTAAGACATTCAACTACTAACCAGAAGGTTGCCGGTTCAAACCCACCAGCTGCTGGTGAGGCAACCTATTCCTGTAAAGATTTGCTGCCTTGGAAACCCAAAGGGAGTCACTATGAGTTGCAATTGATTCGATGGCAGTGAGGTTGGTTTTGGTTTATAAAGGAAATATGAAAAACTGAGGTTTCATTTTTCTAAATTGGCTTTTGTGAAAAAAAGGGCTGCTGCCCACTGTCTTACAGTGTTATTTCCGTAGAAAGATGTATTTCAAGTTTCAAACAGTCAGCTTACCACTGTGTGCTCTGGGGATACAGCCACTTCATCAGTTGGAGTATGCTTGTCTGAAATCTGAGATCTTAGAGACTCTTCCCTCTCTTATCATCTTGATCCTGTCTGTGTTACTCTCTGGCCAATCGCTCAGACTCTGCTCATCCTCTTCCCTGACATACTATATCTCTACCCACATCAATATGCCCCCCACCTCCCACCCCAGTGTGTGTCCTCCCCACTTGCCATGAGCCTGGAAGCAGGCCAGAGCCTCGACTCCCCATCCTTTCTGTTTCTTCACACCTAGCTCGCCAGCCTTGCTCCCCAGATAGTGTCCAGCATCATCACCCGCACCCCCAAGCCCTTCAGCCCCCTTGCCCATCTCACCAAAGTTACAGTGCCGACAGCTCTCACAGTGGGGCCGGCTGTGGTGGTTTGGTGAGAAGGAGACCCCTGATACACACGGCTCACACTGCGCAGCCTTTCCGTGCTCATCACAGTCCTTCACTAGGTACATTCCTATGAGACAGGGTCCAGCGTCAAGGCCACGGGAGGCCCCTTCCCCTTTTCTGCCTCTTCAAGGCGGTACCTCCCGGTTGCTGCAGGATTCCTCTTCTTGCTCAGCTCAGTCTCACCCTCTGCTTCCCTTTGCCTTAAACCGGGTGCTCTCTCTCCCTCACTCTCCTTCAGCTCCCAGCCAGGCCCGCTCTCTTACCTGGCTCACACATCTGGCAGCATAGGTCTCCCTGAGCCTGGTAGTGCTTCTCCGGACACTGGAGGCCTAAGGTAGCTGAGAGCCCCACCAGGGTCCCCAGAACCCACAGCCAGCAGGGAAGCAGCCAGGCCATGGCTCCTGTCCAGGGAGCTCTTTGCCCTCTGTTGTCTGTTGGCCTTTCTGGGCTGAGCTGACACTCCCCAGCTGGATGCTGGTGCCTCTTTCGTGTCACCTGCTTGTCAGTGGCCATGGTTCCTCACCAAGTTGCTCTGCTTCAGGTGGCAGTTGTGGTCCTAGAATGTCTACTGTAGTTGTTTTTTCTCTCACAGAGGCAACCTCCGCCCTCTTCTGCTTTCTGCGTGCTGGGAGGGTATTAAAGAGCAAAACCTATCAGACCTGCTGATCTTCAAAGATGCCCCCTCTGACACACCAGCCTCCCCTTGGTTTCCGTCCTTCTCTTGTGCTTGTGAAGAATTTAATTTAACCCATCTGTGCCTGCCTTTTTTTACCAAAGGTTGGGTGTACACAGTTGCTCACCTCTTCTCTTCGTGAACTTATACATGAAGACTCCCAAACACACCCCGTTCACAGCTCACAAGAGAATCCAAATGTTCCCTTTCTCTCTTCCCCATGTCCCTTCTTTCACAAATTTAACCAGTTTAAAGAAGGAAGGGGGACCAGAAGTGAGTACAGGTTCATAGCCTTTTATCTAAAACTCTTGGGAAGCAAGAAACATTTTGGAATTTAGACTTTTTCAGGTTTTAGAAAGAAACTAGCACCATACATTACCAAACACTCTCATGGAACTGGGACAACACTCATAATCAGACACATTGATATTTCTGGAGCAAAACTGTGAGTATTTACAATAAATGGGGTGAATAATGACTATACTAGCTTTGGATCCCTAGAGATCTGATTTTATGGCCAAAAAGAGTTTGCTACAGAATTACCCAGAATTGCAAACAAAGGGCTGTAGACCTGTTTCTCTTCTCTGTAGACACTGTGCTAGGAAATCCCAGGTGACTTCACTTTGTCTTCATGCCAGCCTGTGATACAGGTATTACCCACTGGCCAGCTGCTGCCTTTCCTCTCAGACCCCTGCTCAACCTCTTCCTCACCTGAGCCCCCTCTTTACCTCTTCCCTTCTCACCTCTTGCTGTGTCAGTCACTGGTGTCCTGGAGCACCTGGGGCATGTCCTGTCCTGGCCTTAAGTATTTGGGATTAAACAATAACTTCCTGCGTGTGGCATTTCTTCCCTATTTCTCTGATTCTCCTGCAAAGACTCATTTGGGGATATTGGAAATAGATGGACTTTGCTCTCTTTAAGCCCTGGCAACACACGGGTCAGAAACTCCTCATTTCCTCAGTGACTGAGGTGTGGGGTGGCTTATTTCTCCAGGACATTTTTCACATAGCGGCTTTGCAGTTGTTTCCACAGTGCTCATAAAATGTCACACCCTCTATGGTCTCACCTGTTAGATCTGTTAGGGCTGTTCTTTCTCTGTCTCATCTTTGGTTTCCCTTTTCTTCATTTTTTCCATCCTCTTGCTTTCCCCTAACCCCCTCTACAGTTCCTCAGCAGGGTCTCAAGTAGGAACCACATATGGGTGTGATTTGAAGAAGTACTTATGCAAAACCACCCTTTTCGCTATCAGGCAGGGTGCCTGAACTTGCCCCCTCAGAGAGGGTTTCCTTTTGTTGGAGTCTGAAAACTTTTCTGTCACTAACAGTCCCACCCTATTGCCAGGTTATGGTGAGTATCTTCATTGAATCTTAAACTTCAGGTTCAGTGTGAGGTGATAAAGTTGGGAAAAACAATACCTAAAGATAATTTTTAAATTTATTTACAGCATAAAAAATCTTTTTGCTCCCACTAAAATATTCTAAAAAAACCCCCCAAAAAAGCCAAACTCACTGCCTTCCAGTCGAGGCTGGCTCATAGTGACCCCTATTGGGTTTCCAAGGCTATAAATCTTTACAGAAGCAGACCACCCCATCTTCTGCAGAACTGCTGGTGGGTTCGAACCCCCGACCTTTTCGTTAGCAGCCAAATACCTTAACCACTACACCACCAGAGCACCTTCCTCGCACTGAAAAAACCAAACTCACTGTTGTGGAGTCGGAGTCGACTCATAGCCCCTTCTTGGGTTTCCAAAGCAGAATCACTGAGGAAGTAGATCGCCCAGTCTTGCCTCTGAGGAGTGGCTGGTGGATTTGAACCACCAGCCTTCTGGTTAGCAACACTAAAGTAAGGCTAAATAAGAACTGTACATACTTGTTTCAATTTATGTACAAATTCTTAAAAGATACAATTAGGAACAGATCTTGTTTGTAACCTTGCCTGTAATGAGAATTCTAACACACTGTGAAAAATGTAAACAATGTCATGGAACAATTTGTATAAAAGTTGTTAAATGGGAAACTAATTTGCTATGTAAACTTTCACCTAAAACACAAATATTATTTTAAAAAATCATGCTAAGTGAAATAAATCAGAAGAGGACACTTACATGAAAAATCTAAAACAGGCAAATTCATAGGAACAGAAAGTAGATTAGAGTTTACCAGGGTCGGAGGAGAACGGGGAATGGGAAGTTATTACCAAAGGGGTACAGAGTTTCTGTTTGAGATGATGAAAATATTTGGAAATGGTCTGTGATGACGAATGGAATTGTCACTTGAAAATGATTAAAATGATAACATGTTTTTGTTATATGTATTTTACCATAATAGATTTTTTTTTAAATTGAAAAAAAAAATTTTTTTTTTAAATTAGAAATGAAAACAGAAAAAAATTGAACCGTTATAGGTAAGATTCAAATATCCTTTGCTCAATTTCCTTCACCAGCCCTGGCATCTCTCTGCCTCCTCAGAGGTGAACATTGTTTTAAATTAATGACTATTCTCCTAGAACTCTTTCTAAACATGAAACAATAAAGCAAATTGTTTTATCATTTTAGGGACATTCACAGATAAAAATGAGGGCAGATCCCTTCTCTTTGTTGGACTGTACATTAGTAAACAGGTTTGAAAAATTTTTTTTTTTTTAAACAAAGTAGGAAATGAGAATTCATTACCCCCAGAGACAGGCATCTGTCAGACAGATTTTCCCTGCAAAGTCCCTTTATTTTCTACTTAAAATATTATTAAGCAATAATAAAATATTTCTCACACTGATTTCTCAGCTCTTGTCTTGCTGAGTTTTTCAGAACAAGGAAGACCCCCTCCCTTAGGAGAAGTGAGAGAGAAGCCCTATATATAGCATCTGGTCACTGCTTCTCCCTGGCAAGGGGACTTGCCCCTCTTTTATACCTGAGATGATCAATAGTGATGACACCTAATTTTAACCTTTCCTTTCTTATTTGGGGCTTGGTAGGTTACTTTTTCTTTAAAGGAAATAATACACAGGCTTAAGTACTTCTAAGGCAGAGCAAGAAGTAAAGCCTAAAGAACAAATTGTGCGTAGGTGCATTGATTCTTTCCACTTGTTACAAAATTATCTCTTGAAATAAAAACCTAAACCTGGCAGTTCCATGTTCTACCTGTGTTCTCTTTTAAGGTCCATCTGTTTCCAGATGACAAAAGAACTGTTCCTTGGCCTAGTGTCTCAGCCTGCTAGGCAGAACTCTTTGAGGGCCCAGCTTGTGTGTTTGGTCTTTCTTTTTCATAGTTGATGCACAGCAGGTATCCTTCTAGAATTTGCTATTTTGCTTTTTTAAATCCAAAATATGTCTTGTGAATCATTTTATGTTATACATACGGAACTACTCATTTTATTATATAGAGAATGGAAGTACATAATCTTTTTAACTATTTTCCTATTCATGAATACTTAGGTTGTTTCTAACCTCTCACCATTACAAATGGTGTCACATAAGCAGTACAGTATGCGGTTCTCTGTGGATATAAGAGTGTCTTTCTAATCTGAATACTGGGCGTTGAAATTGCTGAGTCATAGGGCATGTACATTTTTCATTTTAACAAATACTGGAAAGTTGCCTTCCAAGGTTGGTCTACCAGTCACACTCCCACCAGCAGTGGCATAAGAGTACATTTTCCCCTCATATTCTGACAACATTCATATTAGCAAACCTCTTTTGACAGTCTAATTGGGGGAAAATGCTGTCTCATTGTTTTGGGGGCATTCTTTTGATTTCTGGGAATGCTGAGCACCTTTCCATTATCATTTTTCCATACTTATTGGCTGTCTGTATTTCCTCTTTTGTGACTATTGTCTTTTTTTCCTTGTGTCACCACCAGTGTTCTGAAGCCCACTCTTGGCTCTTCCTCACATCCTCTGTTTTCTTGGCCCAACTTGCAGGGTCTCTGCCAATCATGTGGATCCCTTCAGATGTTCACCATCTGTTCTGAGGGCTGAGAAGAGCCTTCTTGTGACTGGGGAGGTCTCTCCAGTCCCTTCCTCATAGACTTCCAAGGATTTCAGGCATGCATGAAAAATGTACCTTGTACCTCCTCTGTAAGATTTCAGTTGGGACTTGTATGAACCCTAGACTCCTTCTGGTCCAGCACTTGATACCTCCCTAAGACTGCACTGACCTCCAGTCCTGCCTGAGGACCCCTTGGTGCACGCTGACTTTTTTTTAAATTGAGGTAAAATTCACATAACATAAAATTCACCATTTTAATTTTGTGTATTTTAGTATGTTCACAGAGCTGTGCAACCATTACCATTATCTAATCCCAGAACATTTACATCACCCCTACCAGCCCCCTCAAAACAAACAAACAAAAACAACAACCATATCCATTAATAGTTGCTCCCAATTTCCCCTCCTGCCATCCTCTGGCAACCACTAACCTACTCTCTGTCTCTGAAGTTGCCTACTCTGCATATTTTATATAAATGGACTCATACAATGTGTGCCTTTTTGTATCTGGCTTCTTGTGCACAAGTTTTATATTTTTACTTATTTCTGGTGGCACAGTGCCTAAGGCATTTGACTCCTAACCAGAAGGCTGTCAGTTCACTCTGCAGAAGGAAGACAGGGCTATCTACTTCCTTAAAGATTTACTGCCTTGGAAACCCATGGGGTTCCTATGAGTCAGAATCTACTTGATGGCAGTGGGTTTTTGAGTATATAACTAGGAGTGGAATTGCTAGGTCATAT